GAAAGAAAAACTACCAACTCAGAATTCTGTGCCCTGCAAAAATTTTTAAATGAAGGAGAAATACAGACTTTTTCAGACAAATAAAAATTGAGGGAATTTATAGCCAGTAAATCTGCTTCGCACGAAGTGTTAAAAGACGTTCTTCAGAGAGAAGGGACATGATGTGAATCAGAAATTTGGCTCTATATGAAGATAGGAAGAGCACTGGAAGGAATAAATAAAGATAAATTTTATTTTTCTTGTTCTTAACTGGTCTAACATAATAATTGTTCAAAATAATAATAATAGCAACAATGTATTCAATGATGTATGCATGTTTATGTACAGGTTAAATGGATGAAGAAATGATACAAGGGATGGAGTGGGGGCAGAATTAGGACTATTTTGCTATTATAAGGTACTTGCACTATCCATGAAGCAGTGTAGTGTTATTTGAAAATGGGTTTGTTGTAAATATACAGTGCAAACTCTAGGGCATCAACTTTAAAAAATAATGAAAGAAGTATAAATGAAGAAAGGAGAGAAAATGGAATTATAAAATCTCAAAACTACAAAATGCAGAAAAAGTGTGAAAGATAAAAGAACAAGGGCAGTAAATAGAAAACAGTAACAAATATGGTAGATATTAACCCAAATATATCAATAATCACCTTAAATGTTTGTGATCTAAATACACTAATTAAAAGATAATGATTATCAGAGTGGATCCAAAAACAAGACCCAAATATATGTTGTCTACAGGAAACTGATTTTAAATATAAAAAGGGGTGCCTGGGTGGCTCATTCGGTTGAGCATCTGACTTTCGGTTTTGGCTTAGGTCATGGTCTTGTGAGTTGTGGGATGGAGCCCCAAAGTGGGCTCAACATTCAGCGGAGAGTCTGCTTAAAGATTCTCTCCTCTGCCCCACCCTCCACTCATGTGCTTTCTCTCTCTCTCTCTCTCTCTCTCATAAATAAATAAAATCTTAAAAATAAATAAATATAAAGACACATAGATTAAATGGGTAGAAAAAAATACCATGATAACACTAATCAAAAGAAAGTAGTAGTTATATTAATTTCAGACAGAGTAGACTTCAGAGCAGGGAAAGTTATCAGGGATAAAGAAGGGCATCTAATAATAAAGGTGTCAATACTCTAAATTGACATAATAATCCTTAATGTTTTGTCTAACAGTAGAGCATCAAACTACAGGAGGCAAAAACTGGTAGAACTGCAAGGAGAAACAGGTGAATCCTCTGTTGTAGTAGGAGACTATAACAGTCCTCTATCAGAAGTGGACAGATACAGCAGGCAGAAAACTGTTAAGGATATAGTTGAACTCAACAGCACCATCAGTCAACTGGGTATAAATGACATCTCTGGACTATTTTATCCAACAGTAGCAGGTTACGGGGCACCTGGGTGGCTCAGTCGGTTAAGCGTCTGCCTTCAGCTCAGGTCATGATGCTGCAGTCCCAGATCAAGTCCCGGATCGAGCCCCAAATCGGGCTCCCTGCTTAGCAGGGAGTCTGCTTTTACTTCTTCCTCTCCCTCTGCCCCTTCCCTGCTCCTACTCTCCCTCTCTCTTTCTGTCTCTCTCTCCCAAGTGAATAAATAAAAAAATCTTTAAAAAAAATAGCAGCTTACACATTCTTTTCAAGCTCACATGACTATAGGAAACAGAATCCCTGACTAAGAATGGTTGTAAGGCCATTTATTGCTCACTTAACGAAATCCCAGAGGCAGGTGTACTCAGGGTTGTTCTAGTAACTAGATGTCATCAAGGGCAGGGTTTTATTTATTTTCCTTCTCTGTATTCCTGGTGTATTGTCTTATCCTGTGGTTATCACCTTAGTATTACCAAAGATTGTAGTAGCTCCAACATCCCATCCAGGCAGGAAGAGAAATATTAGTTCCATTCACCTCTGTTGGAAATAGGGAGAAGGGGAACTGAGCAGTAGGGGGAGGTATTGTTTATTTTAGTTTTGTTTTTAATGTTTATTTTAGGAGATAAAGCAAATGAAGCAATATGCTATTGGCCCTGGATCTTTGCACATATTTTTTTCCTTCTGCCTGCCATTTATGATCTCTTAAATCCTTCCCACAATTGTATCTCAGTAACTAGTTATAGTAACTGATACATAGTAAGTAGTCAGTAAATATTTTTGTAAGGAAAGCAGGCATAGCAAAAGTAGAGTCAGTTTAACACAACTCATCTCTCCAAAACATATTGTCTAATATCAGGGGAAATAAGTAATGCAGCAATCACAATATAGAATGGTAAATGCTAGGATACTGTTAATTACAAGATACTGTGGGAACACATAGGAGGAGTTAGAGAAGACAGCTCAGAAACAACAATTGTTTAAACTGAGATCTAAAGAATAGTAGAAATAACCAAACCCAGAGGGAAAGAAAGTCTCTTGGTTTGTACATTAACTTCCACAAAGTGAAACAAATATAATCCTTTTTGAGGGAGGAAGAACTTGAAGAAATTCTAGTGAGAAAAAAGAGAGGATGGCAAATAGTAATTGATCATATATTGCCCATTATTACTAATTTTAGATGTCTTAAAACTGTATGGTTTGTTTCTGTTTTTAGTGGAAAAAAAAAAAGAAAATCCAAGACTTCAGTTCTCTTTCCTATAATGTCTTAATTTTTTTTTTACTGTTGTAAACATCTGCTACTCTAAAAGTTTTCAGGCGTCTATCTATACAAGTTAGAAACTCCTAATACATATTTTATATATAGTAGCACATGAAAACAGAAGTTTTGACAAAGCTCAATGGACAGGTTGCTAAATTAAATACAGGATGCCTGGTTAGATTTAAACATTAGATAAACAAAAATAATTTTTTAGTGTAAGTATAAAATTGCATGGACCATACTTATCCTAAATCACTTGTATTTTTTTTTTTAAATTTATTTGAGAGATAGCGTGCACGTGCATAAGTTGGGGGAGGGACAGAGGGACAAGCAGACTCTCTGCCAAGCGGAGACCCTAGCACGGGGCTTAATCCTAGGACCCTGAAATCATGACCGGAGCTGAAGTTAGACACTTAACCAACTGAGCCACTCAGGTGCCCCTAAATCATTTTTGTTTATTTGCAATTCAGATTTACCTAGATGTCCTATATTTTTATTTGCTAAATCTGGAAAGCCTAACAATAGATACGAGATTTCATAGAGGAATGCTAAACCAGGATCTACAAAGTAATTGACTCTTACTAACTCACTCTCAGTATGAAATGGTCAAGGAGGAGAGGATTTTGAGATCACTCCTAACCTTTGTCCACTCTAAGAACTTACCACAGGCCCCCACATTTTGGAGGCCCATAGAATGGGGCCTGGTTCAATCTCTGAAAAAAGGCTGAGGCTATGATTGATTGGCTAGATGCACTAATAGTAGAAGCAAAGAAGAAGCTGCTGCTGCACTAGGATAAGACCTCAGAGTCTACCTGGACAAAGTAAGCTCCACTTTTTCCTATAGACTAGACATGGGTCATATATATATATACCTACCCAAGAAAGATGGCATAGAGTTGTCATGGATTCTGTCCAGAAGGGCTGCATAAATATGCAAACACATCTGAGTATAGAAAAGCTGGAGGTATCACAAATGTCAACAACCAGTTAGAACAGAAATATATATATTTGAGAGAGAGTGTGCAGCTGGGGGGAGGAGCAGAGGGAAGGGAGGAAGAATGTCAAGCAGACTCTGAACTGAGCATAGAGCCCAACATGGGGCTCGATCTCACAACTCTGAGATCATGACCTGAGCTGAAATCAGGAGTCGGATGCGTTAATGGACTGAACCACCCAGATGCCCCAGAATTGAAATATATTTGACAAGATCAAGAAATCTGCAGATGAGATTTCCAGTGATGGTAATCTCCAAGGAACTGACCAAAGTACCTTACGAAAGAGTCAGCTTTAGAAATCTCCCAGATCTAGGAAACACTGATGTTAGAAAACACAACAGTGATAGTCAATCAGAACTTCCCATTTCCTCTCTCTCTTCTCTAGAGCTCTAATCTCTAAAGGGTCCGCTAGTGGCAAGCTAGAAAAGTAGGAAGAGAAGCAGTAGGCCAGAAAAAAGCAGCTGTTAATATTCTCCTTCTCTAATTGTAAGTTGTAATAGTCTTAGCTGGAAGAGAGAAGCCTCAACTTTAAAACAAAACAAAGATTTACTTATATATAATTCTGGACATTTTACCAACCAGATGAACATATTACTGAGACGTTACTAGAAATGTCACAGAACAACCTCAGTTTTCATCCAGAGGCCTGCTGAATAAATGTAGAGATAAAATGTCACTTTGGAAAATAGCTTGGAAATTTCTTATAAAAGTTAAACATAACACTTATCTAACCCATCAGTCTCACTCCTGGGCATTTACCTAAGAGAAGTGAAAACTTACCTTCAACCCAAAACCTGTTTATAGGGTGCTTGGTTGGCTCAGTTGGTTAAGCATCTGCCTTCAGTTCAGGTCATGATCTCAGGGTCCTGGGACTGAGCTCCACATTGGGCTTCTCCCTCTCCCTGTGCCTGCTATTCCCCTTGCTTTTGCTCTCTCCATCACTTGCTCTCTCTCTCTCAAATAAATAAATAAAATCTTTTTTTAAAAACCTGTTTATGAATTTTATAGCAGTTTAATTTATAATTGCCCAAATCTGAAAACAACTCAAATGTCTTTCACTTGGTAAATGGATAAAAATATGTGATACAGCGATACAAGGGAATAATACCAGTCAGTAAATAAAAAGGAATGAATTAGTGATACATATAATGTGGATGAATCTCATAGGAGTTACACTAAGTGAAAAAAGCCAGATTCAAAAGGTTACATACTGTATATCTCTACTTATACTGCATTCTGGAAAAGGTAATGTCTAACTTCACAACAAGCACCAGCTTTTGGTCACTCCCTGGTGCTAGAAGATAAGGTCAAGTTAGGGAAACAGAAGGTATATGACCAAAGGCCCAATTACCAAAGTGCTCCCATTCCTTAACTTACTGTGATTTAATGGATGCGAGAGATTTTCTGAAAGTAGACTGAACATCTAACTGGAGTAGCATAGGAATATCTGGGTACCCACCCAGCTGGGCCCAGAGCGAATGTATTGATGTCTTCTCTGCTATTGGGTAGCTTGAAGTTGACAGATCAGCGTTCCAGATAGCTCTCATTTGTTCTTCTTGTCTAGAGAATCAGAGACACTAATTGAAAGCGCCAAACTCTCCTGAACTCTATATCCAATTAAAATGTATGAATCTTATTTTCCCCTTTTCTCTTCCCCACCGTCTTATCCTATAATGTCCTGTCTGGCACTAAAGAACATTAGCTATGTCCACTTTGACTGAGCAATGGATTAAAATAGCAGAATTTGCTGAAAGAGCTTTTTTTTTTCCTTCCCTGAAAGTGCATTTTCATGACTTCACCTAGTAATCTATTTTAAAACTATCTTCTTAGTTTCGTGGAGTATATAAACCATATCCAGATTTTTTTTTCCCCCAGCAATGTTCTTTTCCATTCCTTACCAAAGCTCCTACCTTCTTTTTTTAAAAAAAAGGAAAAAAGTAATGTTTCTAAGTTTCTTTATTCTGTTAAACTAATTTGTTTCATGGTAAGGAAAATCAGTTTCATTTTTTTATAAGACCAGCTTTATTTTTAAATTTATTTAATCTATTTAATTTTTTGAAGTTGAACTAATTTATTAACTGAGCAAAAGTAAAACAATTCAAATTCAAACAGAATTCAAATAACAAATGTTCCACAAATCTATAAATGTATGTCCTCATATGATTACTGAAATGAAGCTTTCATCTGGAAAAATCTATTGAGACTAAGTTATGATTCAGTTAGATATAAGTTCAAAAGTATAGACAAAGTATTCTAACACTTCATTCAATAAGTTCTGCCTGGTCCAACCATTTATTTAAAGTCTTTAGCATTCATAGTTAATGACATGGAAAAAATAGACACCTAGCTGAATCTTTGGGGTAAGCCCATGCATGTGGGATGAGACATCCAAAACACATTATAAAGAAGGGATGTCACAGCTTATATCCCTCCGGGACCATAATTTTCATGTCACCTGTGGGAACAAGAGAGCCCCTGTCTTGGGATTGTTATAAAGGAGGGCCACTAAAGGGAAAACTGGACTTAATCATTCTTGGAAAAGAACAGACAAGGAGCAGACCAGCAACATATTTTTAAAAAAGGAACTAAAATAAATAAATAAATAAATAAATAAATAGGAACTCAAAATTAGATGTTAAATATTTAAGTAGAAATATATGTAAATAATCTTCTTATTAAATTGGCTAAGAAAGTCAATACTACCTTAGACTTTCTACTGCACCATATCATAATTGTGGGGAAAGAGAAGCTCTTGGGCAGGAAAGAAAAAAAAAGTATTAGGTCCCACATATCATCCAAATACGGTTTAATGTCAGTCTTTTTCAAGCACATACCGTAATTTCTTGAATGTGTCAGACTTTCTATCTTCTTTTATTAGCAGCTCTAGGAATGGCTGCTGAACAAATTTGGCAGAGGCAGGTATCTCCTTTTTGTCAGTGATCAAAGGTATGGGCCAACTAAGATTCAATTTATACATCTCTTGAAGCTAAAAACAAATAAATCGGTGAAGGTAAAAAAGAGTCAGAGTCTTTAAGAAGTTCTGAGCTGGCCCTAGCTAAACTGTGACTCTTTCTTTTCCATGGACTTGCAAATCCTTTTTCTCCATCCTCTTTCTCTCTTCCTCCAATCACACCTCCACTTCCAACACACAATTTCAGAGGTGGCACTATGTTATATAAAAACCTTTGTCCTGGGCGCCTGGGTGGCTCAGTGGGTTAAAGCCTCTGCCTTCAGCTCAGGTCATGATCCCAGGGTCCTGGGATCGAGCCCCACATCGGGCTCTCTGCTTGGCGGGGAGCCTGCTTCCCCCTCCCTCTCTGCCTGCCTCTCTGCCTACTTGTGATCTCTGTCTGTCAAATAAATAAAATCTTAAACAAACAAACAAACAAACAAACAAAAAAACCTTTGTCTGAGGAGCCTCAATGGCACAGTAGGTTAACCATCTGACTCTTGGTTTGGGCTCAGGTCATGATCTCAGGGTCGTGGGATCGAGCCCCAAGTAGGGCTCTGCACTCAGCATGAAGTCTTAAGATGCCCTCTTCCTTTTACCCCTCTCCCCCAAACTCTCCTGCTTGCTCACATTCTCTCTCAAATAGATAAATAAATCTTTAAAAAAAACAAAACGAACAAACAGAAAAATCCCTCGATCCTGTATAACCTGTAGTCCTAGTCCTCTCATTTCCTAGCTGTGTGACTTTGGGTTAGTTGCTAATTTTATCTGCACCTTTCTCTTCATTTCTAAAACAAGGATAATAACACAGGGTTGTTGTGGGTGTTGTATAAGATAAAATATATGAATACACATCATAAATTGTGAAGCACTAGGCAAATCTAATGATAGCTAACACTTACTGAATACTTGCTGAATGTAATATGCTTTTTATATATTAATTCATTTGGTATTTCCAACAATCTTATGAAGTGAGTAATGTTATTATCCTCATCTTACTTTCGGAGATCTGAAGCTCAGAAAATTTATACCTTGTCCAAGGTCTCTTAGCTAACATGTGGCAAAGCTGATTTGAACCCACACAATCTGGTAGGAGAACCAACCTCTTGAGTGTAAGGTATTTGTTCATTTCTACCCTCTTCTCCCTTTTGCTTTTTTCTCTCCCATCTTATGCCTTGATAACCACTTCATCATCTAGATCGTGGATCCCCTGATCCCAGACCCTTATTCATCCCCTGAAATGCCCTAGATACGTGATTCCTGTTAGATAGTTCATGACACTGCCAACTCAGCTTGCTTTATTCCACCTACATTGACCATATTTTCCAAACCAAAACCTCAAAAGTATCCTTTTTTTTTTTTTTTTTTTGGTCAAAGAGCTTTAATATTTGAAATATCACTGTTCTAGAAAATTCAGAATATGTCTGATTTGGACCAACTATTGTAAGAAATGTCTTTGTACCTTCTAAAGCATCAAGTAATTTTATACATTAATTTAGTGAAAGAAAAGAATATATAGATATAAAATACTCCTAGAATACCAAGAATGTTCTAAAACTCCATGCTGGAGCATGTAGTGGGAGCATGTAATCCCAGAGCAAAGAACTCTAATCTCAGCTTTATAACTTTTTGGAAGGACACTATCACTCTCAAAAGCATACTAATGATTATCTCAGAAGAGCTTTGGGACATAATGAGTGGGTATCAGAGTTTAACAGGATCTTCTGGGCCTGGTGCTATGTAAGCAAGTTAAATAAACTCTTACCTCCTTTATTGTATACTCATTCTATTAAATTTTGCTTTCTGATAGGTTTTTTTAAAAAAGATTTTATTGCTTAGTAATCTCCACATCCAATGTAGGGCTTGAACCACAACCCTGAGATCAAGAGTCGCATCCTCCACTGACTGAGCCAGCCAGGTACCCCACTTTCTGATAGTTTTGAGGAGAGAAGTAACCATCATGAATCAGTTGGAGAGTGGTGACTTTAAGAGGTTTCATATCTAGAGGCTGGTAGATGCAGGTTGACTAGGAAGGAGTTGAGCATTTATGGACATCTCCCTCGTTCTAATCTTTTCCCATCTAGAGAGTCCAGCCAGTATCCCTAATGTCAAGTTAGGAGTTTTCACTGGGGTCATGGTATACTGGCTTGAATGGTGAACTCCTCAAAAGATATGTTTCCCAGAATGTATGAATGTGACCTTATTTGGCAAAAGGGTCTTTACAGATATAATTTAAGGATGTCAAGATGAGATTACCCTGGATTGACCAGGTGGGTCCTATATCCAATGACACGTGGCTTTAAAAGAGACAGAAGAGAAGACATAAGACACACTGGGAAGAAGGCCAGGGGAAGGTCAGAGGCAAAGGTTGAAGTTATGCAGCTATAAGCCAAGGAAAGCCAAGGATTGTCAGCAGCTACCAGAGTTCAGAAGAGAGGCATGGAACAAATATCTCCTTCAGAGTTTCCAAAAGGAACAAACCCTGCCAACATCTTGATTTCATGAACTGGCCTCCAGAACTGCAAGGGAATATATTTGTGTTGTCTTAAGCCATCAGGTTTGTGGCAATTTGTTACAGCAGCCCGAGGAGACTAATATACGTGGTATCTCCGGGTAAATGCTATTTTTCCAAGCTTACCACTTTTCATTTTTCTTACAACACACTAGGGAGGGGAAATAGAAAACAAGTTACCTGGCTAAATAAGAACATCATTTTTCTCAGGCACTGATTCCGTTTCTGCTCTAAAGACTTCTGTTTGTTGGTCCAGACCTGCATCATCTTTTTCTGGTAGTCATCAATTCTGTTTAGCATTATGAAGAGGTTCTGGGTCTCGTAACCTTTCCCAGTGTTTCGGAGGGCTTGTAATCGTCTGATTATGTTGTTTCTTGAAAAAAAATTAACAAGAATGCGATTGATATAACGACTGACCCTAACTCAGCTAACCTGGGCCTAGTTATTTTCAGTTCTCATCCTTAGTAAGTAGAGTGGGATATGATAGGAGTGGGAGACTTGCTTAATGAGACCTTAATCTAGTTTCTTATATGATTATTTTCAAAAATCTATATGATTGTCGGGGCGCCTGGGTGGCTCAGTGGGTTGGGCCGCTGCCTTCGGCTCAGGTCATGATCTCGGGGTCCTGGGATCGAGTCCCGCGTCGGGCTCCCTGCTCGGCAGGGAGCTTGCTTCCCTCTCTCTCTCTGCCTGCCTCTCTGTCTACTTGTGATCTCTGTCTGTCAAATAAATAAATAAAATCTTTAAAAAAATAAAAAATAAAAAAAAAAATCTATATGATTGTCAAGTTTTCATTAACTTGAGTTTTTTAGTGTTATAATAGTGTTGCTTATTATTTTAATATTATTTTAATAGTTTTATATTTTAACATATTAATATACAAACATATTTAATATGTTGTTTTAATATTAAAATTTTGGTATTGATATGTATTAGATATATAGAAGGTAGTTAATACAGTTGTGAAAAAGTCATTGTCCTTGCCTTCAAAGCACTTACAAGCCAGAATGGGAGACTAATAAGTTAACTGTGTCAAAGACAATGAAACAAATGCTAAATATACATATAAACATGCTGTTGGAGCAAAAAAGAGAGCATAATTCACACAAGAGAAATAAAGAAGGCCTCACAGGAAGATGTTGCATAGGATCTTGAAGAACAGTGATAAAAATATACTCTCTCTCTTGACAATAACATGTACCACCACGGTTGAGCCTTCTGAACAGATAGTGTTTTGCCATCTCTGTTCTACAGGAGAGGAAAAGGAATCTGAGCAAAGTTAAGTAATTTTCTGAAGTTATATAATTAATAAATATCAGATTTGGGAAGCAAACCCAAATCATCTCTATTCCTACAATACCAGTATTTCTCAAAATGTGGTCCGTGATCACCTGGACTGAATGAATCATTTGGGCAGAGGTGATGGGGTGGTGGTGGTGCTTATTGAAAAGGCGGATTCCAGTGAAAGTGCAAGTTTCTCCGAAAGAAGAATGTAAATCTCAGTGGCTAAAAACAAAATTTTACTTGTTGCTCATACTACAGATCCATCATGGTTCATCAGGGAGCGAGCTTCATTGTATACTCTCAAGGACACAGGCTATCTGAAGAGCCATCCCCTTGAGCAACGTGGGTTATGTCAGAGGAAAAGGAGACTCAGGAGGGTCTCAAACTAATAATGACAAGCTCAGCACAGAAATGACATATACCAATTCTGCTTACATTTCATTGAAGAGTCCTGGCAAACAGCACTAATGACTATCACAAAGATTCAGCATCATAATAATAAAACTACAATGAATAATAAAAAAATAGAAGTGACGCATCTATATGCAACCAACAAAAAATAATGAAAAGTCTCTATATGGACCTAAATGATACAAGAATCTATGATGAAGGTACATTCAAATCTATAGGGGAAAAGGTAAATTACTTTGTTAGTAGTGATGGAGCAACTGGGTAGCCATGTAGAAAAAAGTCACATTCATATCTCTCAACAGAAAGTTGTGAATCAGAGACTTAAATGTAAAAGAAAGAAAAAGCTAATAACCAACTATAAAAGTTTCAGAAGAAACCTAGAAAGAATTTTTTATATTTCTCAGAGTGGAGTGGGTCTTTCTAAATAAGGTACAAAATATTTTTGAAAATAGTGAACCTGGGGTGCCTAACTGGCTCATTGGTAGAGCATGTGACTCTCAATCTCAGGACTGTGAGTTCAAGCCCCACATTGAGCATGCAATCCACTTTAAAAAAAAAAACAAAACAGAATAAATAATCCCATTAAAAAATGGGCTGAAGGGGTGCCTGGGTGGCTCAGTGGGTTTAAAACCTCTGCCTTCGGCTCAGGTCATAATCTCAGGGTCCTGGAATCGAGCCCCACATCGAGCTCTCTGCTCTGCAGGGAGCCTGCTTCCTCCTCTCTCCCTCTCTGCCTGCCTCTCTGCCTACTTGTGATCTCTGTCTGTCAAATAAATAAATAAATAAAATCTTTAAAAAAAAAAATGGGCTGAAGATATGAACAGACATTTTTCCAAAGAAGATAGCCAAATAGCTAACAGACACGACAAGATGCTCAACATCACTCATCAGCAGGGAGATACAAATCAAAACTACAATGAGATATCACCTCACGCCTGCCCAAATGGGTAAAATTTGGCAATTCAGGAAACAATAGATGTTGACAAGGATGTGGAGAAAGGGGAATCTTCTCGCACTGTTGGTGGGAATGCAAACTGGTGCAGCCACGCTGGAAAACAGTGTAGAAGTTCCTCAAAAAGTTAAAAATAGAACAACCCTAACACCCAGCAATTGCACTAGTAGGTGCTTACCCAAAGGATAAAACAATAGTAATTCAAAGGGGCACTATGTTTATTGCAGCATTATCACAATAGCCAAATTATGGCAAGAACCCAATTGTCCCTCAACTGATGAATGGATAAAGAAGGTGTGTGTGTGTGTGTGTGTGTGTGTGTGTGTGTGTGTGTGTGATGGAATATTACTCAGCCATCAAAAATAACAAAATCCTGCCTTTTGCAACTATGTGGATGGAACTAGAGTGTATTATGCTAAGCAAAACAAGTCAGGGCGCCTGGGTGGCTCAGTGGGTTAAGCCTCTGCCTTCGGCTCGGGTCATGGTCTCAGGGTCCTGGGATCGAGCCCCGCATCAGGCTCTCTGCTCAGCAGGGAGCCTGCTTCCCTTCCTCTCTCTCTCTGCTGCCTCTCTGCCTACTTGTGATCTCTGTCTGTCAAATAAATAAAATCTTAAAAAAAAACAAGTCAGTCAGAGAAAGGCAAATAACATATGATTTCATTCATATGTGGATTCGAAGAAACAAAACAGATGAACATAGAGAAGGGAAGAAAAAATAAGATGCAGAGAGGGAAGCAAACCATAAGAGAGGCTTAAATATAGGGAACAAACTGTGGGGATGAGGGTGGGAGGATGGAGTAACTGATGGGCATTAAGGAGAGCACTTGATGTAATGAGCACTGGGTGTTGTATGCAACTGATGAATGACCAAATTCTAATCCTGAAACTAATACTACACTATATGTGAACTAACTTGAATTTATTTATTTATTTATTTATTTATTTTTAGATTTTATTCATTTATTTGTCAGAGAGAGAGAGGGAGAGAGAGCGAGCACAGGCAGACAGAATGGCAGGCAGAGGCAGAGAGAGAAGCAGGCTCCCTGCCGAGCAAGGAGCCCGATGTGGGACTCGATCCCAGGGCGCTGGGATCATGACCTGAGCTGAAGGCAGCTGCTTAACCAACTGAGCCACCCAGGTGTCCCCTAACTTGAATTTAAATAAAATTTTGAAAGCATGAAAAATGAATGAATGAATAAATACATAAATGAAATAAATGTTCTGATTATATCTTGAAGAAGTCTGGTTTTGTACCTTGTTCTAATCCTTAGTTCCCAAATCAATTCAGTCCTCAAAAAATGTAAATTTCATGAGAACAGGGTACTTTGCCTGTTATTATTTGCCTGTTATTCACTGCTGTATCCCTAGCCCCTAATACAATACTTGCCACATTTAACAAAGATTTATTGAATAAATGATATATTTTCCTATAATTTATATATAAGTAATAATAATAAATAATATTAATAACCTTTTCCAGTACAGATTTATTTTGGCATCTTATAATTTTAGGTAAAAGATATCCCCAAAACAATAATTTGGTAACCTCAAACATAAATTCTAAGGATAACAAGACAATTTTCACTTTCCCTATTTCTGCAGTTTTTAAAAAATCAGGACCAGGACCTTCCATGTCACTTCAGCAGCAAAGTTGCCATGGCAACAACTTGTATATAACCTGCCATTTCCTGTTTCAAGAATCATACAACTTCTGGTGAACCCAAGAAGATGAAAGAAATTTAGAATAATTAGAAGTTTAGAATAATTGGGACCAAGCTTTTAAAGTTGGTATTTTGGAAATCAACCATGATCCACAAAATATATCTTAGTATCTCTGCTAGAGATATAAATGGGTGAAATAGATCATGTTACATGACATTTTTATTTCCAAAAAAAGTATATCTCCTTTTGGTATCTTAAATAGGCTTCATCCCACAGACCTATAATATTCTAGAACATCTAATATGACAGATATGTATATACTTATAGGACAATGAGGGAGGATATTTGAAATCAGGACTAAACCAGAAAACTGGACATTCAATATTTACATCTACCTTGCACGCTGGATCAGCCTGTAAGCAATGTACTTGCGGAATAGGTATCCCAGCCGAACTGTGTCTGTATGAAGTGTCTCAATTATGAGATTCCTAGCTGTTGTGTGTAGCTGTGAAGGGAGTCCAGAAGATTTTGTGGCCTGATTTAAGAGTACCAGGTTCTTTCTCTGAGCTTCCACATCAACAAAATACCTCTGCTCTTTGAGCTCTTGGGGAGAGGAAGGGGGCACCATCATCTTGGGTTTCTTGGTAACTGAATCTGAAGTCAGTATCCAGGACTTATCTATAGGGGGGAACTGGGTTTTCTGGTCCCATTCAGAAGATGAGATCTGTGACGTTTTGGGCAGTTGAGTAAAAAGAGACTTCACGAGAGGGGGAAGGGCCCTCCCACCAACGTAAGGGGTGTGTGATACTGGTGTCCTGTAATCGGTGAGATAGGACTGAAATGTTCTATATTGTTCTGTGGCAATAGGATCATGGCATGTCTGGAATTCTTTAGAAGTGTCAGAGATCCCTGATATTTGGAAGTTCTTAGCAGTAAAAGGGACTGATTTAGATTTCAGAGAAGAAATAATTGCCAATCTTTCCTTACTTTCCTTAGCTATAGAAGAGGACATATCTTTCTGGGGCTTTCCAGGGGTTAGGGAGGTCCATAGTGTTGGAGGATGCCCAGGGGTGGGAGGGATCCCCAGTGGGAAAGTTTGATGCTGCTCAAGAGTAGAAGGGACTTGTGGATAGAGAGATTGCTCATAGATGGCAGGGAGCTGGAATGCCTGGGGCTTCTCAGAAAGTGTTAAGGGTCTAGGTTTCAGGATGGAAGAAGTCCCAGGAACCAAGGGCTTCCTAGGGGAAAGAGGAGCCAAGAGAGTAGAAAACTGCGGGGAGGAGAGTGGAACTCCAGATATAAGGGGCTGCCTGGGGGCAAGCGGGGCCTCTGATATCAGAGGTAGCTGAGGAGTCCAAGAGTCTCTTAAGAACTTTCTAGAACTAAGAAGGGTCTCCGGTGCAAGCTTCCCAGAGGCCAGAGGGTCCTCTGGTGCTACAAACTGAATAGTTTGACCTTCAGAAACCAGGGTCTGTTTAGAGGAAGGAAAAGTCTGTGGTACCAGGAGCTTCTCAAGGTCAGAAGGAATTCTCATTCCTAGCAATTTCCCAGGGGCTTGGGAAAGAGGAGACCCTGATACCTGCAAAGGAGTAGGAGACACCTCAAATACAGAGGACTTCTCCGCAATAGGAGCAGATGCTGGGGCCTGCCTAGGACTTGATGTAAAGGATTTCCCAGGGAGGACAGAAGCCTTCAATCTTTGAAAAGATCTAAGACCGGAAGGAGCCAATGTGGGGAACTGCTTAGAAATGTGAGGACCACCTGGTGTAATGGGTTTATCAGTAACAGGAATGATCCCAACTTTCAGGGTATGTTCTAAAGGAGGTTGGGGCCCAAGTGGTGAGGGCTGTTCCCTTGATTGTTGGTCCTCCTCAGACATGAGAGTAATACCCATGGGTTGGGATTGTCCTGGGATGAAGGGAGCTCCCAAAGTTTGCACTTGCTCAAGGGGAGATTCTATAGCACGGAATTTATCTGAGGTGAGAGGGACCCCAGATTTCCGGAAGTGTTCTGGAGAGAAAGAAACCCCTAATGCTTGAGCCTGTTCTAAGGAGAGAGGGGCACCTAAACCTTGGGTTTGTTCAGGGGTACAAGGGACAGCTGACAACCAGGGACTTTCTGGAGTAATAGAGACCCCCGATTCCCAGGACTGTGCTACAGTGAAAGGAGACCCCCATCCCTGAAGTTTCCCAGGAGTGAGTGTGAAACCCAAGCTCTGGCATTTCTCAGGAGTGAGGGTAACCGCCAGTGCTTTGAAGTGGTCAGGGGTAAGAGTGATGCCATTTGCCTGGATCTGTTGAGGGATGAGAGTGAGCCCCAGGGCCTGGGCCTGCTCAGGGGTGAGAGTGATCGCCTGTGCCTGGGCCTGCTCAGGGGTGAGAGTGATCCCCAGTGCCTGGGCCTGCTGAAGAGTGAGAGTGATCTCCTCTTCCTGGGCCTGCTCAGGTGTAAAAGTGATCCCCAGGGCCAGGGCCTGTTGAAGGGTAAGAGTAATCTCCTGTGCCTGGGCCTGCTCAGGGGTAAGTGTCATCCCCAGTGTCTGGGCCTGCTGAGGGGTGAGAGTGATCCCCAGTGCCTGGGCCTGTTGAGGAGTGAAAGTCATCCCCTCTGCCTGGGCCTGCTGAGGGGTGAGAGGGATCCCTAGTGCCTGGGCTTGCTGTGGGGTGAGAGTGATCCCCAGGGCCTGGGCCTGTTCAGGAGTGAGGGTGATCCCTGGTGCCTGGGCCTGCGGGGGGGTGAGAGTCATCCCTTGTGCCTGGGCCTGCTCCGGAATGAGTGTGGCCCCTAGTCCCTGGGCTTGCAGGAAGTCGTGTGTCATCCCCAGTGCCTGGGCCTGTTCAGGGGTGAGAGCCATCCCTAGTGCCTCAGCCAGCTGGGGTGTGAGAGTGATCCCCTGTGCCTGGGCCTGCTGGAGTGTGAGAGGGATCCCTAGTGCCTGGGCTTGCTGAGGGGTGAGAGTGATCCCCTGGGCTTGGGCCTGCTCAGGGGTGAGAGTAATCCCTAGTACCTGGGCCTGCTGGGGGTTGAGAGTCATCCCCAGTGCCTGGGCCTGCTGGGGAGTGAGAGTGATCCCCTGTGCTTGGGCCTGTTCGGGGGTGAGCGTGATCCCCAATGCCTGGGCCTGTGGAGGTGTGAGTGTGATTCCCAGTGCCTGGGCCTGTGGAGGTGTGAGTGTGATCCCCAATGGATGGGCCTGTGGAGGTGTGAGTGTGATCCCCTGTGCCTGGACCTGCTCAGGGGTGAGAGTCATCCCCAGTGCCTGGGCCTGCTGGGGAGTGAGAGTGATCCCCTGTGCTTGGGCCTGTTCGGGGGTGAGTGTGATCCCCAATGCCTGGGCCTGTGGAGGTGTGAGTGTGATCCCCTGTGCTTGGGCCTCAGAGTTTATCTTAATCTTCATCTGATCCTTTGTTTCTTTCTGTCTCTGTCTTTCATGGTCCTCTACATTTCTCCATGGCTCCTGCTTCTCCTCTTTCTCCCAATTTATTTCCAGCTCCTGATATCTCACTTCCTTCTGAGCATCCCTCTTCTGCTGTCCCTTCTCCTTCTCCAAGGGCACCACTTGTTTTTCCATTTTTTTATCCCATGCTTCCAGCTGCTGCTGTTTTGGCTTCTGATAATCTTCCTCTTCTCTTTGCGTTTGCTCCTCATCTTGCTCAGTCTGCTTTTGCATCCTCTGTTTTTGCTGTTCCTTCCACATTTTCTGCCACTGTTTCTGCTTCCGTTGTCCTTGCTTTCCTCCCTTCCTCTGGAGCCATGGCTCTTCCTCCTGCAGTTTATTCCAGAAACTCCCTTCTTGCAATTGGTGTTTGAGACGTTTACCAACTATTTTTTCTGGACCTTCTTGCAAATGTTCCTCCCGCCTTTGTTTTTGCCTTTCCTTGCCATCTCTCCCTACCGTTGAGGGCACTAGAGCATCTCTTTTCCCTTCTAGTTCAGCCAAGATCGTCTGTATTAAATTGTCAGTTAGTGGATCCTTGCTCTTAGATGACAGTAAGGTGCTAATTTCAGACTTTGCACTAGTGGGCTTCTGAAAATGCAATCCTGGCATAAATGAGACTTTTTTTTGTTTCAAAGATTTCTCTCCAGCCTGTCCTGCACTTTTTATATCTTTGTACTTCCTCAAGGTTTTTGTCACAGTTTCACCTACGTTTTGGAAATATTCCTCTATTTTTTCCTTTATGATTCCTAATTTTTCAGCCTCTGGTGTTTTTAATAATTCCTCTTTTGGCACAGTCTTTTTATCCAAAGGCTTTCCTACGTTATCAATTTTCTCTTTTAGGAAAGCCATTACAGCTTTTTGAAATTCTTCTAGGTTACTCTCTTCACTTCTGCCATCTAGACTTCGTAGAACTCTGGTAGATTCTGAAGTCTCTTCTGTTACCCTAGATTTGGGCTTCACAGGTCTATGAGACTTGACTTTCTTGGTGACTAATATGTCCTCTTCAAGTTTTCCTTCTTTGCTTGTGGTGGTTCCTGGAGAGACATGGTGTTTCTTTCCTTTTGTTTTCACTTTCTCAGAGGAATAACCAAGTTGGGTAAATCCAAATTGCTCTGCTTGGCTGCTCGTCTCACTTTTACTCTCTTTGTCCATTGACTCAGTGATAGATTCCTCTTTACTCTCTGAAGAAATCTGGCTTTTGTAATGCGAATACTCAGGTTTGAGCTTCTTGAATTGTTCCCATAAACCACTTGTTCCATTTCTGCCAATTTGGCTTTTTGTGTCAGTAGAAGGGTAATCAGCAGGGACATGATCACTTCTTGATTTTCTTGATTCAGTGAATGACTTTGATTTGTCCTCAGAAAAGGATTTTATTTCTTTTCTCTTTTTTTCCAGTGACTGTAGCTCCAAATGGTAATCAAGTTTGGTCTCTGAGTCTTTTTCTTTACCTTTATCATCACTCACATTAAATCCAGAAGTCTCATGCATATATGGGCCTTTAGTTCGCTTTTTTTCCTGTGATTGATACTGGTCAGTCCCATCTTTCCTATAGACATCACCTTTCTTCTGTGATATCTTATCTTCAGTGATACCTTCAGAAAACCCTCTTTGCTTTTTTTTAAGTGAAGGATATTGCTCTTCAGTTAAATCTGGAGTCATTTCAGCTGGCGCTCTATGTGAAATAGTTGAGTCCCACTTGATCCCCAAGCCTTTGGTCCCTTTTGTTTGGGCCTCATCTGTAATATCTTCAAGTTCTTTAACCAAAATATCATCCATATTGTCTTCTATGTCAGCTTTGCTAGTGGATGATTGTGAAGAAAGCTCAGGCAACACTTTCAAGGTTGATGTGGGTAATGCTGTACCTACTTGGGGTTCTACAACAATTTTGGACCGAATAAATTGTTCATATTTTTCTTCTGCTTCTTGAAGTTTCTGCTGAAGCATTTCATTTTTTTCACTGAGCTCTCGCATTATCTTCAGGGAGAGCTCTTTTTCTTTTTCACTTGTCTCACTTATATACATATTGGCACTCTGAAGTTTAAAAATTTTTAGTTCATCATTTATTATACCCAAAGCCTTGGAAAGGTTTATTATTGTTGATGATATATATTTAATAGCATTGTTTTCCAATTTATTGAACATCATAGTGTTTATGAGTTCCTGTAGCATATCTTGGATTTCTGAAACCTTTGTATTTGTTGCAAATTCATCACTGATCATCTGATCTGGTCTTAAAGCATGAGCTGTTGCAGGTCGCTTTATAACTCTTTCTTTCCAAGATTTCCATAGAGTACTTCTAGATGCTAAAGGAAGAAGAAACCCCATAAAACATAAAATAATAAGATTGCATTTCTTGTTCTGTGTTGTGCTCTATCTTTGCTAAAACCTAAGGAATTTAGCCAAAATAATAGATAGCTATAAGATAAAGATTCGTCAGAAAGCCTTGGTTCCCCTGGGGCACCTGACTGGTCCAGTCTGTAGAGAGTGTGACTTGATCTTGGAGCTGTGAGTTTGAGCCTCCATTGGGTATAGAAATCACTTAAAAATAAAATCTTTAAAAAAAAAAAAAAAGCTTTGCCTCCAAAATAAATAGTATTATTTTTAAAAGAATGACTTTCCGCACAATCACCTAAAACTTTCGCTTCCAAAGTTTAGTCTTTATTCATTATTTGTAATCTCAATTTACCTTCAGTTACAAGTTTGGGATTAGCTATAACAAAACTTTCCTTTGGCTTTGATTATGCTTGGTGCTTTCCATTTTCTTTCTTGGGTTTCTGTCTTTCCTCACTTTTCTGAACCACACTTAATCTTGATTCTTTCAGAAGAGTCAAAAAAGAGCAGACAAAAGTCAAACCTTTGAAGGGGTTTCCAGAATGGCTAAATGAGAAACTCCACACATTTTCCCCTCCAAAAAAAGCAATGATAAAGCTTAGCAAACCTGCCAAAACCAACCATTTTAGGACTTTGGAAATTGACCAAAGGCATACAACAATTTGGTAAGAATTTATTCAAGAAAAATTACTAAACTTAAGTAAGAATGGGGGAAGTCTGTGATGTTTTTAGCCTGGAGCTTCTTGTGTCTCTAACTCCCCCAGCCAGTGGCCTGGGTGTCCTACTAAAGCAAGGCAGGCTCAACAGATTGACAGCTCTACTACCTAAAGGAACTGATTAGTTGTGGAATAAAGCAGGGAAAAAACCATGCTTAGGGGCATCTAAAACAATACTTCCTTAACCCATACACAGACCCATTAGCAAAGAATAGAAGACTTACTGAATCAGTCAGGATCCCTAATCATTGGCCAATTATTGACCACTAAGCTATGATGACCCAAAAGTGACCCCTAGGAATTCAGGCCTTAAAATAAAAACAAAAAGAATAAAAGAACTGAGCAGTGATATCAGTGACTGCACATTGTTGGGGAGACAGACTCCACTGAATTCTAGGGAAGTCACTAAAAAACAAACCAAAAAAGTGACAAAAAGAAACCCTGGAGGTTATAGAGAAAATCAGAATCTAAAGTTGCTATAATGGGCACCTGGGTTGCTCAGTCAGTGGAATGTCTGTCTGCCTTCGGCCCCGGTCGTGATCTCAGTGTGCTGAGATCAAGCCCGGCATTGGGCTCCCTCGTCAGCGGAGAGCCTGCTTCTCCCTCTGCCCCCACCTCCTGCTCATGCTCTCTCTCTCTCTCTCTCAAATAAACAAGTAAAATCTAAAAAAATTTAAAAAGTAAAGTTGCTATAATATGTTATCTAAAATGTCCACGTTTTTTTAGAGGTGGGGAGGGTCAAAGGGAGAGACTCTCAGGCAGGCTCCCTGCCCAGTGAGGAGCCTGACATGGTGCTTGGTCTCACAACCCTGAGATCATGATTTGAGGTGAAATCAAAAAGAGTCAGGCACTTAATTGACTGAGCCACCCAGGTGCCCCTAAAATGCTCAGTTTTTAACATAAAAGGAGCATGCAGAGAAACAAAAGTACAACCTATACACAGAGGATAAAAGCAGTCAGTAGAAATTTTCTCAGGGATTGGGAGGGGAGCAGATGTTGAACTTACCAGAAAAAGACTTTGAAAGAAGAATTATAACTATGTTCAAAGAACTAAAGGAAGCCAAATTTTAAAATAAAGGAAAAATACTGTGGCAATTATCATCAAATAGAGCACATCAGTAAAGAGATGGAAATTAGAAAAACCAAGTGGAAAATTCAGACTTGCAAAGTGCAATAATTGAAATGAAAAATTTACCAAAAGGGCCCAATAGTAGATTTGAAATGGCAGAAGAAAATAACCAGCAAATTTGACACCAGATTAGTAAAGATTGACTAATCTGAAGACCAGGGAGGAAAAAGAATTTTTAAAAAATGAACAAAGCCTCAAAGACCTGTGGGACACCATCAGACATACTATTGTACAAGTGATAGAAGTCCCAGAAGAAGGGGGGGGCATTTAAAATATTGAGGAAGTATGGGTTTCTGGGTGGCTCTGTTGGTTAAGCATCTGCGTTCAGCTCAGGTCATGATCTCAGAATCCTAGGGTTGAGCCCTGCATCAGACTCCCCATTCAGGGGGAGCATTTGCTTCATCCTCTCCCTCTACCCCCCAATCTTAAAAAACATATTGGGGAAAAAATAATGGCCAAATCATCTCAAATTTGATGAAAAGCATTAATCCTCACATTCAAGAGGCTCACTGAACTGTAAGTAAGATAAACATTAAAAAGATCCATACCAGGGGTGCCTGGATGGCTCAGTGGGTTAAAGCCTCTGCCTTTAGCTCAGGTAATGGTCTCAGGGTCCTGGGATCAAGCCCCGCATCAGGCTCTCTGCTCAGTGGGGCGCCTGCTTCCTCCTCTTTCTCTCTCTACCTGCCTCTCTGCCTACTTGTGATCTCTGTCAAATAAATAAATAAAATCTTTAAAAAAAAAAAAAGATCCATACCTAGATACATCATAGTCAAATTATTGAAAGCTACACAAAGAGTCTTTAAAGCAAAAAAAAAAAAAAAGACATCACAATCAAAGGAGACTCAAACATCAAAGTACAGGGGAACCATAGTCAATTTAACAGCTTACTACTTATAAGAAACAATAGAGGCCAGAAAACAGTGAGATGACAGATTCAAAGTGCTGAAAGAATAATTCTGCTAACCAAGAATTCTATATCCAGGACAACTACTCTTCAAAAAATGAAAGTAAGACATCCATTCCCTGAAATAACACTTTTGCCAAAGTAGCATGCACATGCAACTCTCATAACATCCTCATTGCATGTGTCTTTTAACACTTCCCTAAATGCATTACAGATTTCTATTACATCCATTCCCTGAAATAACACCCTTCTCAAAGTAGTATGCATATACAGCTCTTATAACCATCCTTTTTTTTTTTTTTAAAGATTTTATTTATTTATTTATTTGACAGAGAGAGATCGCAAGTAGGCAGAGAGGCAGGTGGAGGAGGGGGGAGCAGGCTCCCTGCTGAGCCGAGAGCCCGATGCAGGGCTCAATCCCAGGACCCTGAGATCATGACCTGAGCCAAAGGCAGAGGCCTAACCCACTGAGCCACCAAGGTGCCCCTCTTGTAACCATTCTTATTACATATGTTTTCATTTTATTGTTTTTAAGATTTTATTTATTTATTCAACTGACAGAGATCACAAGTAGGCAGAGAGGCAGGCAGAGAGAGAGTGAGAAGCAGGCTCCCCGCTGAGCAGAGAGCCCGATGCAGGGCTTGATCACAGCACCCTTGGATCATGACCTGAGCTGAAGGCAGAGGCTTTAACCTACTGAGCCACCCAGGCACCCCATTACATATGTTTTTAAACAGTTCTCTAAATATATTACATTATTCATGGAAATAACACATTCCTGTCAAAGTTACTTGCAAGTGAACACTTATATATCCATAGTTAATGCATGTGTTTTCAACACTTCTCTAAATGTGTTATGGAATGTCTATTACATCCATTCCCTGAAATAATTTTTTTTCAAAGTACCAGGCATGTAAAATTAACTTTTTATATGAAGATAAGATATAAGACATACAGATGACAACTAAGGATATGAAAAGATGCTCAGTGTTGTCTGTCATTAGAGAATTGCAAACTGGTGAAGCCACTCTGGAAAACAGTATAGAAGTTCCTCAAAAACTTAAAAATAGAACTACCCTACTATCCAGCAACTGTACTACTAGGCACTTACCCAAAGGATACAAAAATAGTGATTTGAAGGGGCACATGCACCATGATGTTTATTGCAGCATTATTGACAATAGCCAAATTATGGAAAGAGCCCAAATCTCTGTCAACTGATGAATGGATAACGAAGGTGTGGTATATATGTATACAATGGAATAGTACTCAGCCATCAAAAAGCCTGCTTCCCCCTCTCTCTCTGCCTGCCTCTCTGCCTACTTGTGATTTCTGTCTGTCAAATAAATAAATGAAATCTTCTTAAAAAATTTTTTTAAAAAACCAATGATTATGAAACTATATTGTTGGGCTTATGGTGCATATATTGTTGGGCTTATGATACATACATGTAATATATATGACAAAGCACAAAGGAGGGGAAGAGAATGGAGCTATTGGAGCAAAGATTCTATATTTTGCTGGAATTAAGTTAGTACTAATCTTAGTGATAATTGTAATAATTTATGATGTATACGGCAATCCCTTAGAGCAACTACAAGGAAATTACTCCAACAATATAGGAGGAAAATGGAATTAAAATGGTACAATAGGGGTGCCTGGGTGGCACAGTGGGTTAAAGCCTCTGCCTTCAGCTCAGGTCATGATCCCAAGGTCCTGGGATCGAGCCCCACATCAGGCTCTCTACTTAGCAGGGAGCCTGCTTCCTCCTCTCTCTCACCCTCTGCCTGCCTCTCTGCCTACTTGTGATCTCTGTCTGTCAAATAAATAAATAAAATCTTTAAAAAAATAAATAAGATGGAACAATAAAAAATATTTGTTTAACACAGAGGTAGTAAAAGAAGAACAGGGGAACAGAAGAGATGAGACATGAAGAACAAACAGGAACGTGGTGGATGTAAATCCAACCATATCAATAATTTTATTAAATTTGAATGAATCAAACATTCCAATCATAAGTGAAAGATTGCCAAATTTTATGTGTGTGTATGTGTGTATGTGTGTATTTATTTATTTACTATATATTTATAATATATATAATATATGCTTAACTTTTTGTTAAATTTGCTATAAACTCAATTTACTAAATTTACTAAAATATATATATGTATTTGTGTGTGTGTATATATATATTTTGAAGCTGACAGGATCCAACTATAAGCAACACATAAGCAACATATCTTTGAGTCAACCTTATGAACAGTAACCACAGGGGAGCTGGAGAGAATATACTTATATCAAACACAATAGACTTAAGACAAAAAATGTTTCTAGAGACAATGAGGGACATTTTATAATAATAATAATAATAATAAGCTCAGTTCATCAGGAAGCTATCACAATTATAAAGATAATATACACCCAATAACAGAGCCTTAAAATACAGGAAGCAAAAACTGACAGAATTAAGGGAGAAATAGATGACTTAATAATAATAGTTGGAAAGTTCAATATCCCATTCTCTATAATAGAACAGCTAGACAGAAAATCAGCAAGGATATATTTGAAGACTAAAACAACAGTATAAATCAACTATAGAAACTCCACCCAACAACAGCTAAACATATATTCTTTTCAAGCACACACAGAACATTCGCCAGGATGGACTATATGGTATGCTATAAAGTGAGTAATGATAAATTTAAAAGGATTGAAAGAATGCAAAGTACATTCCCCAAAATACCTTATAATGGGTAGATAGATAATATATAATTTCCTAGTGGTTCTGCTTCTCTGGTTGAACACTGACTGATAAAAATTTTTAATACAACACTAAAACTATGATCCATAAAAGAAAACATTGATAAATTGATTTGACTTCATCAAAATCAAACACCATTGGGCTTCAAAGACCCCATTAAGAAAGTGAAAAGACAAACCACAAATTGAGAGAAAATATTTGAAAATCACATTTTTGAAAAGATTTTATCTATTTATTTGAGAGAGCAAGAGAGTGAGAACACAAACAGTGGGAGGAGCAGAGGGAGAGGGAGAAGCACTGAGCAGGGAGCCCAATACAGTGCCCATTCCCAGGATCCTAGGATCATGACCCAAGCCAAAGGCAGATGCTTAACAAACTGAGCCACCCAGGCACACTGAAAAGTCACATGTCTGATAAAGGACTTGTATCCAGAATATATAAAGGACTCTTAAAATTCAACAAAAAACAGGTAAATATTTGAATAATCATTTCATCAAAAATAAATATAAGAATGGCTAATAAGCACCTGAAAAGATGCTCAACATCTTTAGTCTTTAGGGAAATGCAATTTAAAACCACAATGGGATACCACTTCACACCTCTTAGAAAGGTTATACTAAAAAGACCATCACAAGTGTTACTGAAGATGTGGAGAAACCAGAACTTTAATACATTGCTGATGGGAATGTAAAATGGCGTTGTCACTTGGGCAATAAGTTAACAATTTCTTAAAACGTTAAGCATAAGCTTACCAGCAATTGATAAATGACCCAGAAATTCTACTTCTGGGTAACGACCCAAAAGAAATGAAAACATACATCCACACAAAGACTTATACAAGTGTTTTCATAGCGGCATTCATTCAGGGAGCCTGCTTCTCCCTCTGCCTCTGCCTGCCATTCTGTCTGCCTGTGCTCGCTCTCTCTCCCTCTCTCTCTCTGACAAATAAATAAATAAAATCTTTAAAAAAAAAAACCACACATAATATGATTCCATCTTATGAAACATCCAAAAAAGGCAAACCTATTGAGACGAAATAGATTGGTGCATGTCTGGGACTGAAGTGGGAATGAGGATTGACTGCAAGTTGGTGTGAGGGATATTTATGGGATGAAGGAAATGTTCTAAAATTGAATTGTAGTGAGAGTTATACAACTCTAAATTTACTAAAAGTCATTGAATTGTACACTTAACATATGTGAGTTTTATAGTATGTAAGTTGTACCTTAATAAACCCATTTTTTAGAAAAAGTCAAATCTGTTTCCAATGTCTTCAAGCACCCTTACTTGTTTTTTTCCTTTGTCTCTTCTTTTCTTCAAACAAAAATACACTAATTCTACACAGTAACTTGACATTGTTCTCAATAGCTTTGAACATTTCTGGTAAAAGCTCCATTTGTGCTATCCAGTGGTGGTGTTCCTCAATATCAATTGCAGTCATCTCAGACAAAATTGCATCTTGAAGAGAGTAAAAAGAAAAAAAAAAAAGCTTTTGTGCAGAAAAATAATTATAACTATATAAGTTTATAATATTGGCTAACTATTCCATATTATAGTATTAGGGAATGTAGGTATCTCATACTTATTGCTATTCTGAAGCTTTTCTCTATGAAGAAATGAAAAAGAGACTTGGAATAGAAACCTGAACAGTAAATCTTGGACATGATAATACTCTGGTATCTAAAAATGTGAACATGTGCTTTAATATTGAGGAACTAAACCCGATTAACTCCTTTCATAAGTTATTTAGTATTTTAAAACCCTCATTACATGATATTTCTTGCAACTAAATGACATTCCCTTTTTTATATTCTAAGGTTATTCATTCTTTCATTCAACCAATGTCTCTTTTGTCATGTATTGTTCTAGATGCTGAGGGTACAGCACTAAATTAAATTTCCTGACTTCATACTGCTTGCATTCTAGTGGAAAGAGATAGACAAAAATTAGTTATATAGTATGTCAGATGGTAAGAAATGCGACAGACAAAAATAAAGAGTAAAGAATAATGGACAGTGTCAAGGAGTAGGGAATGGAGATGGTCAGAGAACATATCATTTTAAAGTGAGATATAAGCAGAGGATGAGCCACATGCCTACTTGTGGACAGTGTTCCAGGCAAAGGAATAGTAAGGATAAAGACACTGGGCAGGGGCATGCTGGCATGCTTGAAGAAAAGCAAGGAGTTCAGAATAGCTGGCATTAAGTGAGCAGGACTATATTTTTCTTATTTTATGCTTGCTGAAGCAGTGGATAACTGTTTTCTCAATAACCTCCTTAGTCTTCTTTAGTCTGATTAACTCTTTATAATTTATAGATCCTTTTCTCTAGCTTTTTCATTAACTTCATGGTTTTACTTTGAGCCACCTCTGGAAACTTACTCCATTCTTCCAACCAGGCCAGTATGTACACAAGAGTCTTTTCTGTAATTTCAACATTCTTAGCACAAGTAACTATTTTTTCCATGAAATTTACTCTCCGTTTCTTATATTCTGTAATGGATATTTTTCTTCGAGAGTGCACATTCTCATCAAGAGTGTAGCGATTTATTATCCGCTGTACATTAAGCATTATGTCAGCCAGCTGCATGTTAATGGCCTATAAGAATAAGAAGGGGGATATATTAATAAATTCTCAATTTGTTGACTTAATTGAACATCTGTTCATTAAAAACTCTCAACAAAGTGGGTTTAGTGGGAACAAACCTCAATATAATAAAAGCCATATATGAAAACCCACAGTCAACATTATATTCAAAAGTGAAAAACTGAGGGCTTTTCCTCTAAGATCAGGAATAAGACAAAAATGTCCACTCTCACCACTTTTATTCAACATAGTACTGGAAGTCTTAGCCACAGCAATCAGACAAGAAAAAGAAATGAGGGACCTATATTGGTAAGGAAGAAATTAGACTGTCACTAATAGCAAATGACATGAAACTATTTATAGAAAACCTTAAAGACTCCACCAAAAAATCTATTAGAAGTACTAAATGAGCTGAGTAAATTTGCAGGATACAAAATTAATACCCAGAAAATGGTAACATTTATATAGACTAAAAATGAAGTAGCAGAAAGAGAGATAAGAAAACAGTCCCATTTTACAATTGTGGAAAAGAATAAAATACCTATGAATAAACTTAACCAAAGAGGTGAAAGAAGTTTTTATTCTGAAAACTTTATTTTTTAAAAAGATCTTATTTATTTATTTGACAGAGAGATCACCTGTAGGCAGAGAGGCAGGCAGAGAGAGAGGGGAGGAAGCAGGCTCCCCGCCGAGCAGAGAGCCCAATGCGGGGCTCGATCCCAGGACCCTGAGACCACAACCCGAGCCGAAGGCAGAGGCCCAACACACTGAGCCACCCAGGCACCCCCTATTCTGAATACTTTAAAACATTCATGAAATAAATTGATGGCACAAATAAATGGAAAGATATTTTATGTTCATGTATTGGAAGAATTAATATTGTTAAAATGTCCATACTACATAAGCAGTCTACAGAGTCAGTTCAGTCCCTATCAAATAGCAATAGCATTTTTTTTTTTTGAGATTTTTGATGACTGTTTCAATCTCCTTACTGGTTATGGGTCTGTTCAGGTTTTCTGTTTCTTCCTGGTTCAGTTGTGGTAGTTTATATGTCTCTAGGAATGCATCCATTTCTTCCAGATTGTCAAATTTGTTGGCGTAGAGTTGCTCATAATATGTTCTTATAATTGTTTGTATTTCTTTGGTGTTGGTTGTGATCTCTCCTCTTTCATTCGTGATTATTTATTGGGTCCTTTCTCTTTTCTTTTTGATAAGTCTGGCCAGGGGTTTATCAATCTTATTAATTCTTTCAAAACAATAGCATTTTTCACAGAACGAGAATAAATAATACTAAAATTTGTATGCAACCACAAAAGACCCTAGCTAACCAAAGCAACCTTGAGAAAGAAGAACAAAGCAGGGAGTAAAAGTTCAGATTTTAAGTTACACTATAAAGCTATAGTGGGGTGCCTGGATGACTCAGTCAGTTAAGTGTCTGACTCTGGCTCAAGTTGTGATCCCAGGGTCCTGAGCAGGGAGCCTGCTTCTCCCTCTCCCTCTGCTGCTCCCCCCTGCTTGTGCTCTCTAGCTCTCTCTCTCAGATAAATAAATAAAACTCCTAAAAAATAAAGCTGTAGTAATAAAAATGGTATGGTGCTAGAATAAAAATAGACACATGGGGGCGCCTGGGTGGCTCAGTGGGTTAAGCCGCTGCCTTGGGCTCAGGTCATGATCCCAGGTCCTGGGTTCAAGCCCCACATTGGGCTTTCTGCTCAGCAGGGAGCCTGCTTCCTCCTCTCTCTCTGCCTGCCTCTCTGCCTACTTGTGATTTCTCTCTGTCAAATAAATAAATAAAATCTTAAAAAAAAAATAGACACATGGGTCAATGGAACAGTATAGAGAGCCCAGAAATAAACCCACAAATATATGGTCAATTATCTTTAACAAAGAGGGAAAGAATATGCAATGGGAAAAGACAGTCTCTTCAACAAATGGATTTGTATCAACCCACATTTGTAGCTTTCACTTTGTTTTATTCTACATGTAGGTGTAAGCCTCTGTTTATTATGTCTTCCAGTGAAGTTTGACCTAAAATGCCTGTTATTAGAAATTACTTCCCTAAAAAAAGAAATTACTCTCATTTTATTTACCCTCACACTAATATTAATTATTTAAAGTATGAGTATAGATATTTTATCTATGAATTTCTCCTCAGGAATGAAACAGATGTTAAAATATTTCAAAAGGAAACAGTGAATCTGATAGATGATGAACTACCACTCCCACCTTTTCCAACTTTATTACCCTTTCAGTTTGGTTACAGACAAGCTGAACTCTTTCTACACTCCTTACAATAAGAGTAAGATTTGGGGGGCGCCTGGGTGGCTCAGTGGGTTAAAACCTCTGCCTTCAGCTCAGGTCATGGTCTCAAGGTCATGGGATCCGGGCCAGCATCGGGCTCTCTGCTCAGTGGGGAGCCTGCTTCCCCTTCTCTCTCTGCCTGCCTCTCTGCCTATTTGTGATCTCTCTCTGACAAAATAAATAAATAAAAAATTTTTTAAAAAGAGTAAGATTTGGGTTTTGCAAACCCATCATAGAAAAGGAATAATCAGATATTTAGGTGCTGGAAATATTGCAATTAGGAACAGAGATGATGCAAAAGATAGGAAGGAAGGGAGGGAACAAGGGAGGGAGGTGTAATTGCAGCAAATAATTTAAGTCAAGAGCACAGAAGGGTGGACACAAAGTTTGATAAGCCGAGTGATGAAAAATAACACTACAAACTAACCCATAGCACAGTGATGAAGGGGAAAAAAAATACCAAGTCCCCAAAAATTCTTCCAGAAAACTAAAAAGGCAGTAGCAGTTCCGAACTCATTCTTTGAGGCCACTGTCCTGATACCATGGCCAGATAGAGACACTACAAAAAGAACAAATGAAGAAAAGGAAGGGAAGGGAAGGGAGGGAAAGGAAAGGAAAGGAAAGGGAGGGAAGGAAGGAAGGGAGAGAGAAAGAAGGACAGAAGGGAAGGAGAAAAGGAAGAGAAGGAAAGAAGAAAGAGAGAGGAGAAAAGAAAGCTATAGATCAACATACCTGATGAATATTGATGCAAAAATCCTCAACAAAATACTCTCAAACAGAATTCAACAGAACATTAAAAGAATTATATATTATGGGTAATTGGGATTTATTCCTGGAATGCAAGAATGGTTCGACATATGAAAGCCAATCAACAAAATATACCAAATTAACAGAATCCTAGGAATAACACCACGTGATCATTTCAATTGATGCAGAAAAAGCATTTTACAAAATTCAACATCTTTTCATGACAAAAATATAGAAAAAAACTAGGAATCGATAGAAACTTCCTGAACGTGATAAAGAATATATATGAAAAATCCAGAGGCGCACCTGGGTGGCTCCGTCAGTTATGTACCTAACTTGGTTTCAGCTCTGCTCGTGATCTCAGGGTCCTGGAATTGAGCCCCACGTTGCGGGAGGGGGGTGTCCCTGCTCAGCAGGGAGTCTGCTTGTCTCCCTCTCTCTCTGCCTCTCCCCCTGCTTATGCAGTCTTTCTCTAAAATAAATAAATCTTTCTTTAAAAAAAGACAAAGAAAAACCCAGAGGTAATAGTCTCAATAGTGAGAGACTGAAAGGTTTTCCTCTGAAGTCAGGAACAAGGCAAGGATGGCCACTTTCACCACTTCTAGTCAACACATTACTCTAAGTTTTAGCCAGAGCAATTAGGCAAGAAAAAAATTAATAAAAGACATCCAAATTGGAAAGGAGAAAATAAAATTGTATCTGTTTTCAGATGATAGGATCTTCTATGTAGAAAACCCTAAAGATGACACACATGAAAAAAACTGTTAGGGAGTGCATTGAATGTGTAGATTGCTCTGGGTAACATAGACATTTTAACAATATTTGTTCTTCCAATCCATGAGCATGGAATGTTTTTCCATTTCTTTGTGTTTCTCAACTTCTGTCTTAAGTGTACTATGGTTTGCAGAGTACAGATCCTTTACCTCTTTTTAGATTTATTTCTAGATATCTTATCATTTTTGGAGCAATTGTAAATGGGATCAATTCCTTAATTTTTCTTTCTTCTGTCTCAGTGTATAGAAATGCAGCTGATTTCTATGCATTGATTTTATATCTTGCCACTTTGCTGAATTCCTGTATGATATCTAGCAATTTTTGCGTGGAGTCTTTGGGTTTTCCACACAGAGTATCATGTCATCTGTGAAGAGTGAGAGTTTGACTACTTCTTTGCTGATTTGGATGCCTTTTATTTCTTTTTGTTGTCTGATTGCTGAGTACTATATTGAACAGCAGTGGTGAGAGTTGACATCCCTGTCATATTCCTGACCTTAGCAGAAAAGCTCTCAGTTTTTCCCCATTGAGAGTGATGTTTGCTGTGGGCTTTTTGTATATGGGTTTTTCGATATTGAGGTATATTCCTTCTATCCCTACACTGCAGAGAGTTTTAATCAAGAAATAATGCTGGGGGCACCTGGGTGCTCAGTGGGTTAAAGCCTCTGCCTTCGGCTCAGGTCATGATTCCAGGGTCCTGGGATCCAGCCCCACTTCAGGCTCCCTGCTCGGCGGGGAGCCTTCTTCTCCCTCTCCCACTCTCCCTGGCAAATAACACACATAGTGTTGTCTTCTTGTCTTTTTAGTTTTGTCTTTATTTATTTATTTATTTATTTATTTATAAATATTGGTTGATTGATTGATTTATAGACAGAGAGAGAGCAAAAGTGGGGAGGGGCAGAGAGGCAGGGAGAGGGAGAATCCTAAGCAGACTCTGCTCAGTGCAGAGCCTGATGCAGGGCTTGCTCTCAAGACCCTGAGATAATGACCTAAGCTGAAATCAAGAGTCAGGTGCTTAACCAACTGAGCTACTTGGGTGCCCCAATAAATCCCAAGCAGAATAAAGGAAAAGACGTCCATACCTAGATAAACTCTATGAAATGTTAAACTAAATGTTACTGGCTGTTGCTATGTGCCATAGGGGTCAAAGAGTCAGAGTAAGAGAGCGGGTAGAGGAATCACTATAATTTGAG